CTTGTCAAAAATCAGTTGACCATAAATAGATGGGCTGATTTCCGGGTTCTCAATTCTAGTCCATTGATTTATGTGTCTGTCATTGTACCAGTACCATGCTGTCTTGACTACCACAGCAGTGCAGTAGGATTTTAAATCAGAGAGTGAGATGATAGGCTTGCTTCTTAAGATTCATGAATCACATAATGCAAAGAGTGGAGAAGGGAGATACAGAAAAAATTTTGCCAAAATATATCTTTATAACCTGCAGGCAGATCACATTATAGGGAAATGACTTTTACAGTTGTTTTAGTACATTTTACTACATTACATTGTGGATGGAGATAACATTGTATTATATCCAAGTCACTTGTTGAGCATCAATGAGTATTTGGTCCAACCAATAGAATCCATAACTTAGCCGTGATAATATGCAAAATTCATGGCCACAAGAAACAAAGTAGATGGCTGAAGTGAAACCTATCTTAGCCAGGGAGGGATCCAGTTCAAGCTGTAGGCTTGGAACAGGACTAAATTTAGACTGTCTCACTCAGAACTCAGAGGATTGTAAGGTGTTCTAGAAAAATCATGTATTGATTTCTGCTGCAGTAAACTAACACTGGAATAAAAGAAGTGAGAACATACAAGAAAAGGTATCAGCATCCATGATAATTAGAACAAAAGAGTAAGTAGATGTACAAACATCTAGTGTTTTCCATAAACATCTATTCTTGCTCTTTTCAATAATGTCATCCTCTGGACTTCTACTGAAGATGGACAAGGAAGTAAAGGATTGCCTGTACTATGAGGACAATACACATACCAGAACTCATACTCAGACACGCACACATGTGCATACACACACTCAAACACACTGCTTTTGATAATATAAAATTAGTTGGGCATACCTTATTTTAATATGTAAAATTAGTAGGACATACCTTATCATACATGCTTGTATGAATAAACAAGATTAGGGAAAAGAAAAACTTCAAAAAAATCCAATTATCTTCTTGGACTATAACTTCCCATAGCAGTAACATTTATCTCCTCCACTTCATCTCTTGTAAATCAAGCCCTATTCAATAATGCACTTTCTCCACCTTAATCTTTCCATCTAGTCTTCTCTGAAACAGAATCCCTTTTCTCTTTCACAACTTCATATCTCATCTTTTTGAAATCTTGTGTTTTGTCTGCTCACCTTCCAGTTCCAGGAACCTGTGTAGATTTCAATGAATCAGGTAGGAAGCTTGTTGAATGGACAAAAACTAAAAGCCTTTTTTGTTTTCTCTAAAGCTTGTTCTGTCAACCCTTGCCTTTTTTTGAGTTTTACACACTTATTTCCTAAAATCACTATTCTTAGGAATTTTCTTGTCCCTCTAGCTCTGTTGTTCTTTCTAAAAGTGTCATGTGGAGTTTTTTCTTCATTATCAATTTCTCAGCCTCCCCTTGTGACTCCACTAACTTTCATCCCTCCTCAGACTCCTGAGTGTGACAGTGGTCTGAGTGGCTCCCTGTGCTGCCACTGCTGGTGGTACAAAAGGAGGGTACAGCTTCCATGAATATGGTCCCTTATGAGGTCTGTCTCCAAGCTGGGGAGAAACTTCTAGATCAATCTGGCAATACAGCCTGCCCAGTATTGCACTGAACAGAGGGTTGTGCTCTATAAGTATTTGCCACCTTCAGATGTGTCTCAGTGTAAGAGACACATTTTCTTGCCAAGGTAGAGTGTTTGTCCTAGGAATGGGAGTCAGCTCTGGACCTGAAATGTCTCTGACACAGACTGAGTATGAACAGGCCCCACAGGAAGAGCCGCTGGACAGAAAGAGTCAACCACCAGCCTCCTCTTCTGTGGAAGCAAATACTTAACCAAGGGGAAATTGTGACAATTAAACTGAAAAGACACATTCACACATCTTCAAAGAAGTCACAGAAAGCAGAAAACAATAATGAAAGTATATTTTTAAAAATAATTTTCTACTCAAGGTGAAAGGAAAATGTTTGATTGTAATTTATTGTATTACATTAATCAGTTGTAATTAATGTTATAGAACAAAATGCCTATGAATTCTATTGAATGAAACAATGTATGATCTTGATTTATGGCCCTTCTAAAATAATCAAATATAAGAAAAAAAAAGAGATCAAGAATTATAGATAAAGTTGTTGTTATGAGCTGTTGGGTTGGAACAGACCCATAACTAACCTTCTAAGATGTTTTCAGAGGGTATTATCACTTTGTTCTTTACTGTCTTATTGAATAAGAATAATTTTATTACTTGTTATTTTTTAATTGTTATTTTAATGAAAGTTTACAGAAGAGTTAGATTTTCATTTATTCAGTATTTCACATTTTTCTCCCAACACCTCTAGTTCAATTTTTAAAAAAAAGCAATATTCATTCATTGTTTCATAATTTCGTCCTTCTCCCCAGAAGAGTTTTTAGGAGAAACTTCACCTCAGTCGTGACTTCGTAGAGATTCAATGGAGTCATGAACAGATGCAGTGCTGAGGACACTCAATAGTTATAAAAGACTTTCCTGAGCTACTGAGGACATCACATAAAGGAGTGACCTGACCTGAACTGAAGAGCAGTGGGCAGAGCAGTGGACAGAGCAGCAGGGAGGCAGGAGCTGTCTCTGAGGGGCTCTCATATCCATCCTACATCATGGCTGTGTCTGAGTCTGGCCAGCAGGGGGCACTCATGTTACATTTCTGAGCCATCTGTGGGTTATCACACAGCTGGGAACCAGGACCCTGACCTGGTGCTCTCAGCTGTGACCTTCTACACCCACAGAAACTACACACACCAACACTGCCCCATCTCCCTAGCTGTCCTCAGGCACAGAAGCTTGACTCAGGTAAGGCCCAGAAAGAGGTGATTAAGCTCTTTTGCATAGATGGACCCTCCCTTCCCTCAGAGTTTGAAGAGGGGATGGAGAGAGGAGGAAGCCCTACAGCAGCAGGAGGTCACCAGAAGACAGGACTCAGGAAAATGTCCATCATGGCCTGGGCCCCTCTCCTACTCTCCCTCCTCCTTTACTTCACAGGTGACTAAATTCGGGTCAGGGGAAGGGGTCCTGAAAAGTTATATATGTCTCTGCTTTCTCTTCCTGCCTCTAGACTCCAGGGTCACCATCTCTGTGTCTCTCCACTTGCAGGATCCTGGGCCCAGTCTGTGCTGACTCAGCCAACCTCAATGTCTGGGAACCTGCGTGAGAGGGTCACCCTCTCCTGCAGTGGAAGCAGCAGCAACATTGGAAGTAACTATGTAAGCTGGTACCAACAGCTCCCAGGAACATCTCCTAAACTCCTCATCTATGATAACAGCAATCGACCCTCAGGGATCCCAGACAGATTCTCAGGTTCCAAGTCTGGCAACTCAGCCTCCCTGACCATCACTGAGCTGCAGGCAGATGATGAGGCTAATTATTTCTGTCACTCCTATGATGACAGCCTGAGTGCTCACACAGTGCTCCAGGCCTGCAGGGAAGTGAGACAAGAACCCCATTCTCATCTGTCCAGAGGGGAATAACCAGCTGCTCCTGTCAGGCCCTCCTGTGTGTGTGTTTGTGGCTTCTGCAGCTTGTGCAGCTGCTACCCTGGCCCATTTCCATCATGAAGACCACCATCCACGAGGCCTCTGGTCTCTCTTCTGCGCCCAGAGTCACTCACTTACATTTATTTCAAGAAAAGTGTCTGAGGACAGAGAATCTTTCTTCTTTATGCTAGGGAAACAAACTTTTCTTTTTTAAAAAAAATAGCTGGACATTATGCTGAGTGAAATATCTCAGTCGCAAAAGGACAAATATTACATGGTGCCACTACTGTAAAATGGGACTGATACCAGGGTGGGGATAAGACTGAGAAAAACTGGATAAATTGTGTATACTGCACTGAAACAGATGAGGGAGTGAATAATTTGAACGCGATGTATGATGGGGTATTATGGTTATCACAAGAGTCCACAATTAAGGTTGCATAGTGGAGTGTACTTGGCACGGTGGGAGGGGTGCGGGGGGATTGTGTAGCAGGGAGGGAGTCTTTCTTTTGCTTTTGAAAGTGAGGAGTGAACTGGGCGTGGGGGGAGAGGTCTGGGCAGGTAGAGAAGTGCAGCAACGAATGAATGGAAATCCAAATTCTTTGTAAATGTTCATTAAAATTATTAAAAAAATAACTGCACCCTTTAAAGGCAGTAATAAAATTATTGCATTAAGAGACCCAGGAACAAAAAACAAAATAAGAGACCACAAGAGACAGGGCAGTGGATGCTCCAGAATACTGATACCAACTACCAAAAGGGGGTGGGAACGTCATTGTAAAAATACAGTACAGTTATATATATTATTTGTAACATCAAATCTTAGCCCTGATATCCTAAAAGACTTTTTTTTTTGTTATACTACTAGTTAGAGATAATTCCCCGCCCCCCCTCCCCCTTTAAAAGCTCTGCCTGATTGTAAATGGAAATTGCAGGTGAATTCATTGTCCCCAGGAGGCTCTTGTGTGAAATTA